TCAAAATATCTTTCGTATTATGGATTGTGGTGCCAAACTTTACTCTTTTATGCTTTCTCAGAACACAATGGTCGCAAAAATTAATTTACAAGCCTTTGCACCTTTCAACAACCCTTGCTTTTCCAGAATTGATAGGGATTTCTCTCCAACATGTCTCAACCGCATATGCCACAACTGGGTTATGTCCAAATTGTCGCCACCAGAAGCTTCAGCAACTGATCCAATAATTTTACTACCTTGGTAATAATACAAATTATTTTTCCTGATGCCTTTCATCATCACAAGTGCACCAGATGTGACTTTTAAAACTCGATCTCTCATAGTGAAAACTGCGCTTTTAGATTCTAAGGCTCCTAATGATATGAAATTTTTTTTCTTCAAAATGGGCATGTACCAGACATCATTCAGAACTCTAGTTGATCCATCTTGATTCTTCAATAGAATTGAACATATCCCAAAAGTTTTACAAGCATTGTTGTTGCCCATATAAACAAGTCTTGCATTTAGTTATACTAAATCGGAGAAACACTCCTGATTAGGAGACATATGATAGGTGCAACCCGAATCTAATATCCATCCATTCATCTGAATGGAATACTAATGATGAAGCAACCAATGATATGTTAGAGTCATTGGCATTATGCTCTGCAACACTTACATCTGGAGCAGCTTTTCATTTCTTCTTCAGCTTCGGACAATCTTTCTTCTAATTGCTTTTTTTATGACAAAAGGCACATTCATCTTTTCCCAATCTAGACTTCGACTTTGATCTCTCTTTCTTCTTTGATTTTTGGCTTTTTGTGCGACCTCTTGCCACCATTGCCTCCGTTGTTTCGTATTTGTTCTTTTTGGTTTTTCTTCCTAAGCTTATAACTATACAAAGCAACAATTACATTTTTAATGGTAACTTGATCATTACTATGAAGTAACGTTGTCTCAAGGTGCTCAAATTTATTTGGAAGATATGACAACAATATTAAAGTCAAATCTTCATCTTTGAAGGTTTCATCCATGTCCAACAAATCTGGCACTAGTTCATTGAAGTCAGTGATGTGTTCATTCATACTAGTGTCTGGTTGATAATCAAATTTGCTTTTCTTCATGTGGAGACGATTCTGAGGTTTTTTAAGAATTTTTCCTCTAATGCTTTCCATAGCTTACTTGTAGAAGACTCGTTCTTGTAACCATACTTATGCTCCTTGGAAAGACAAGATCGAATAGTGATGCATGCCAAACGGTTAATTGTTTCCTATTGACATCACCCTCTTCATCGGTATGGATGAAGAGCTTGATGTCTCAAGATCCATATTTGTCATTTCAATGCCAACGAACAATATTCAAACATGAACTTGATATTTTCAGCAACAAGACCGCCGAGATAACGTCAACTGAAGTTTGATATCAATTGTTGGGGAAATCAATTTATTTTCGATACGAAAGTAGTTTCAAAATTGACCTAAAATGTCAAGATCAAAACTAAAACAAATTGCACAGCAGACAACTCAAAACTATTAAATATTGAAACACAATGGAAAAAACTCAATAAAGAACAATAATGGAGAAAACACACCAAATTATGAGGTTCAACAAAATATCGTCTACTCGGGCACCACCAACGAATGATAACTTCACTATCGACAAAATTATAACAAATAGAATTCCCAAAATATTACAAAGTGAGAATGAAGAAAACAAATGAGAGAGAGAACTTATTAGGATGCATTCAAGTAAAATTGCTTAGGCTTATTTATTGAGCTTCAAGGACCAACTTTGCAAATAACCTAATAGTTTATGGACCAAATGATAATTTCCCCATGTACACAACTGACAACTTGAATCAACTTGTAACATTTGGTATCCATCATATCTGCTTACCAACTTGTCAACTTGTGTAGTAAAATTAAACTTGAATTCTTTAAAGGTAGTAAATTTGAATTTAAATTCCTGCCAATTTTGATACCACTTGAACTTATCTAACTTGTAGTTTGTAAATACAAGCCACACATAATAGCCGATGAATATATCCATGTACTAAACTATAATTAACACTCAAATCTCCATAAGTGCTTTCCTAGAAACCAAACACCCTTAGACTACACAAAATTCAAAGCTTTTTTTTTTCAGTGCTTCAATAAACAAAATGAAGAAAGCAAAAGAAGTTCAAATCTCAGAAAGCATCGTTGTCATCTCAAATACACTACAAACGGGAGGTGGGTTAACGGGAGAAGAAGAAAGATATTCCCTCAAGTATTTTGTGTGTTTGCAACTTTATCTATTATGTTATGAGTCAGGATTTTAGTTCAAGGCAAAGTATAATTAACACTAGAGCAAAATCAAAATAAATCAAAATTTAAAGGTCTAAATTGATAATTATCCCTATTTTTTGAATGGTAAAAACAAATTGGGAGGCAGTGCCCCTGGGCTACATGGCTCCATCACCGGTTATTTTCAATACCTATTCTTTTTATTTTAAAGAGATCGGTTTGCATAGGCATTAAATTAGTGGTCCTACTTCTACTAAGGTTGCACTTCAAGTCTTGGGTATTCCTTTTCCTCCCTTTGGAGAATTCAGATAAAATTCAAACCTATTGTTTGAGCATACGTCTTCTCTCGGTCTTCAGGTCAGAAGCAATGGAGGATCTTTGGCTTATGTACATCAACAGTCGAAAAATATATCGATGGTGTATGAGTGCATGCATCTTACCATAGAGTTTTCAAATGATGTTGTTTGTGCATATCTGGAAATGTTGAGAAAGCCATCCAGACAGTGTATATAGACTCTTCCCTTCTATAACAAATTCTAATGGACCTCACTGTTCGATGTTTTCTGATATCCTCGCATGCTTAACCGTTTCTGACAAATGTGTATTATGGGTTTCTTATATTTACTTGGTTATTTATAGGAAGCTGCCAGATGTTGTGGTGCAGTTGTTAGAGCCTGAGAAAGAACTCCGTTCAGTCGAATGACCCTCTGTTCATCTAGGCAACGATAAAAAGAAAAGGGCTCTACAGTAGATAGAAATGGTAGTAAGTTGTGTTGACTCATATATACATCAATATCAGATCATTTAGGAGTGAGGAGGAGGAGGAGGAGGAGGAGGAGGAGGAGGAGGAGGAGGAGGAGGAGGAGGGTTAACTGCCACGTCAGCAAAATCTAATGGTAGGGACTAAAATGAAAATAAATTAAAAGTTTGATGACGGTATTATAAGTTTCAAAAGGTTGGTGATCGAAATACAAGCGTCCTAAAAGTTCGAGGACTATTTATATACTTTACCTTTATAATAAGTCAATAATTATTTTTAATACAGAAGAATTAAACGTTAGATTTCATAATGGAAAATATATTTTTATAATTACTGATATTTCTTTCGATAGATTAGTCAAAATTAAACATTATAAACAATAATAAAATAACATTTTTAATTCAATTTATTTTATTTATATTATCAAAATTTAAATCCTAAATCTTATTTGAAAAGTATAATATATTGTTTTAATAAACTAACAATAAAAATTATATTTTAAGTGATGTTAATCCTCATCAATTAGTCAATTATTTTGTAATATTTTGTTGTTTTTGCACATTAATATTAAACAACTTAAACAAAAATAATAATAATAAATATCAGTATACTTATTTACCGATTTCAATTTGATTACTCCATGCTTATAAATAAAAAGATTTATTTACATCTTAGATCCTTCAATTATGATCCTTATTCTAAATTAGTTCCTAAACTTTTAAATATTTCAATTTCATCCCTAAATTATGATTTTCAGATTAGTCCTCAAACTTTTGACCATTTCAATTTCATCCCCAAACTATAATCTTCATTCTAAATTGGTCCCCAAACTTTTTGAACATTTCAATTTCATCCCAAATTATATGTATATACTAATCACATCCCTTGTTAATAAAATTGTTAGGCCATGTTATATTATTAAATGTTTGGAAAAAATAAAATTTAGGTTAAACTATTGTTGAAACTAATTATGTTTGGATGAATTTAGGGATAAAATTGGAATATTCAAAAGTTTGGGGACAAATTTAGAATAAGAGTCATAGTTTGAGGATAAAATTAGAATGTTCAAAAGTTTAAAGACTAGTTTAGAATGAGAGTAATAGTTTAGGGATGAAATTAAAATATTTAAAAGTTTAAGGATTATTTTGAAATGGGAATCAAAGTTTAAGGATGTATAATACAACTAACTCTAAATAAAATAACTTATGTCAATTAATATATCACCAAGCTATTCTTTTTATAAAAAGATTGTTATCCCTCCAAAATATTTTGATACGATAATATTTTAAGATTTTTTTGATAGAATGTTGTTAGTTTTATTAAAAAATAGTAAATATCCAAAATTACAATGAAGATTTACAAATATAACCGTAAACCTAAAATATAATTATGATATTTTCTTATTATTATTGAGACAAAAACTAGCCACCTAGATTACATAAGGACTAAAGAGTGAAAATGTTAAAAAAACCTAACCAAAAAAATTGAATAAAATAAGAACAATCTGACTGCATTAGTAAACGAATTACAAAAGGGGGTGAAGTTACTAGAAGACCATCGACAAATCGTAAATCAGGTCAAGCGACATAAAAAAACTATTCACGAATGCAAAATGCGTATCCAAATCAATACGAGGATCTAAAGAAGTGAAGATCATCATATAACAAACAAACACCATCTTGATCACTCGTGACGATGTCAAATCCAACTCTGAGAAAAAATAAACAAAAACAATGGCAAAAAACAATAAACATCACCAAAAATCATAAAATATCAAAAGACAAAGAAAAACATGTCATAAAGACAGAGATAAACGTGCCATAAAGAAAGAGAACATGTTACAATAACATAATTATTCTTATTAAAAATTTTAAAAAAATAACCGATATACGACAACCATCGTTAAAATCGATCCCGCTGCTGATTAAGCAAAATTAAAAAAGAAAAGAAAAGGAAAAGGAAAAAGAGAGGAGGAAGAAGGCAACTAGATTTTTTTTTAAATAAGGAGGTATTATAGTCGAACCGCGAATCTCATAACAGGTACAAAAAGAAACAATATAGTCGAAGGTAAATCATCTAAGCTATAGAACAACATAAGAACACGGCTGCGCTTGATGCTCGAATCGCTATCTGGATCGTGGAACTTGAAACTCCGAGCATCGGCTTTATACGTACACATCAAACAACCATTGCGAGCAACACCATCGACATTATCAGCCAACGAAAGTTTCCGAACATCTTCGAGTCCACTGAAGGAAATAGTTTCACTTATGATACAAGCAGTATATGAATTCGATACAAGTATTTCAAGAAAAAAGAAGAGTTATGCACCTTTTTTTACCTCGGTTAACGTCATTTCGAGACGATGTCGGTGTTACAGAAGTAGACCTATTTGACATGGATATCCCAAGGTTTGCACAGTCCATACCAATTGCACCTTAAAGTCCAGAAAGATCAAACTCAATTAGCAACATCAATTGGAACATACTACACTAAACCAGAAGCCTATGTTTATAAACAAACACTTCTAGTTGAGTGTTCTTACATTCTCTGTAGCATGGGAAGGCAGAGACATTAAGAAGATTAAAATAACCCTCCGAGCATCTGCAATCGTACGTAAACGGAGAAGTCTTGTTGCATGATCCTCCTCCGCAATTAGTCCACTGGCAGACTGCTAAACCGTGAACAATTAGTGCATTAACATCAACAGAATGATATCATATGACCAAGTAGAAAGCTTAAATGGTACAAAGCTTACTGTCAAAGATTGATTGGTTTGATTTGGTAGCCTTTTCTTGCACCGGGGAAGGAGCTGCTGCACAAGCAGTGTTCATCGTACCTAAAAACAGCAAATCATCGACATCGTAAAAACACGAATTAATCGACAAGCCGTGTCATGATCTAACTCTTTTTTAAAGGAAGATAAAGCTTAGCAGTCTTTGACTTAGGTAAGATATCAATATCACATATAGACAGGTGTTTGGTGCACAATCTGGAGATGATTTGGCTGTGATTAGCATGTAGCGTGCATCACAAACTTCAATTGAAATACTGATATCTTCTTGTTATACCTCTTGAAGCCCCCAGTCTCCGTTACACCGGATCTTCAACATACTTTACATTAGATTTCTCGAGCCCCTAACTCTCGAGCACATACGCAACTATGAGACATAGACGAGATCCTGACCGGTTCAGGTGACTTACTAGGTCAAAATCTACTTATCAATCCATAAATAATCATCACGAGTTCATGACACTCCAATTAAACCGACCATAAAGACCACTATAAATACCCCAATCGTGACTGGAAAGAGGGATTGTACCGCCCATAATTGGCGACTCTCTTTCTTTTTCCTCGTGATAATCCACTATCTCCCTCCTTCAAACATCGACCAACCACACCGGCCGCGACTCTCTAATTGTTCCATCGACGCTTCTGATTGTAGAACACAATATTTTAAAGGTTCATTTCATCATCAAACTCTAACTCTAGCTTTTGTATCCGTATCAGTAAAGCTAGTCAAAATATCAAGCACATGTAGGTGAGGGAAAACAACAGTACACCACCACAAATAACAATTCTAATTTCCAGAAAACTAATGAACTGTCAAGATTCCATTGCATAACATCAAATTAAGGCCAATCAAATAAAAGTAAGAGAAAAGGGTTAAAAATTTACAGTTGGGGAAAATGCAAGGGAGAAACTTGGGATGATCATCATCATTATCAGCAGCAGCAGTTTGTTTCCAGCCAGCATCACAGTCACAGGTATAATAAGGGAGTGTTCCATTTGAAGAAGGCTTGCATTTTCCTTTTCCACATTCCACTTCTTTGCACACATCATCTTCAACAACAACAAGAACAAGAAATCAAACAAATTCATGAAGAAGAAGAAGAAGAAGAGATACCCAAATTAAGAAAACACCCAAAGATCCCAAAATAAAAAGATCAAAAGAATAAAAAAAAGGGAAACCGACGAACCGAAGATGGGTGGCAAAAGAGGGGATAAAAAGTCGGTTTTCGCAATCTTGAGATGCAGAGCAAGGAAGATTGTGAATAAGGCAAGTGAGTTCAGAGAAGCCATGAGTTGAAGTTTCAAGAGATTTTGAGTTTTGGAGGAAACCAGAAGAGTTCGAAAAAACTGGGGGTGGGTGTCAATAAATGGACGGTGAGCTGACTCGTGGAACGTGTTTACGTGGAGTGGAGTTTGTGGGTTAAACTGGGTCGTTCATGGTTGAAGTTTCCATGTTTTTTAAAAGCTGGATTTTTCTCCTCGGCATTTGTCTTTTCACGAGTGGAAAAAATGGGAAAGTCTGGATAATAGTTTTTTTTTTATTTTACAATAACCGGATGATTAGTCAGACAATAATCGAATGTTTGGGCATATGGTCAGGAAACCATATAAGCATGTGCTAAGGCACCCTTTCTCCCCTATCCCTAATCTCATCCCAGACTAGATTTTAACAACATTCAAATCAACAACCTTCGAGAAGAAAGCAACAGCCTCCCTCCTAAGTTGGAACAACTTCCTTAAACTCCAGCTCATGAAGTCCTTACAAGTCATTTGTAAAAAAATCTTCATCTTTTATGACATATGTCTTAACCCAAGCAACCCACATAGAACCATTACCAGTTAGTATGTTCCTAATAAGCTGAAACATATTAGCTTTGTTTCAACCGTAGATATCCTTCAGACCAAGCCCTCCCTCCCTCGGTCTTAGGAAGGTAGATCTTCCCCTAGCTTACTTTTGCACCAACCGTCAGAGAGTCTTAACCTTTCTAAAAGAATCTTGCACACATCTACTCAATCCTCTTCAGCACTGCCTTAGGCAAAATCAATTAACAACTGATGCTACGATTATTGCTATGACATTTAACGCAAGGGCAAATATCGTTATCAAGTAATAAAAGTGGACGCAAATGAATGTGTCAGATATCGAACCCACAAAGACCAATTATTACAATTAGAGTTGTTAATAAGAAAGTATTAAAATATGTAAAGATATTGTTGTGAACAATGTTGTAACAAAGATAAAAATAGAATAAAGTGTTAGAGGTTACAACATACATATATGAAGCTATGGATCTATTCAGACAAAAGATTGTGAGATGTCAAACAACAACATGTAATGAACAATCCTATAACAACACAATTGATGTATCTAATATTAACCTAGGAGATTATTCCTCTTTTGAAGGTATTCACCAAGCAACTTACAAAGACAAAATATATCTCTATAGCAATCCAAACAAGTTTTCTAAGAATGCTACGATAAAACAATAAGCAAAAATCTCTTTTATACTAAATGCTACTCTCATAGACACTGATGCTACTCATGATCTAACCCATCTCTCGCGGCATTACTGAATAGTTTATATTTCTACAAACAAATCATAAATAAAGCTCAAGTAACACCAATCAAACTACTAAGGCAAGGTTAAAATAAACATGTATTTCATCAAACATATTCAAAACATAATATTCAAGTTTGACATCCCAACATAAAATAAAAGTATTTCATCTTAACATGTTAGCAGACATTAAATGAACATATTCAAAAACATTAAACGAACATGTTTGCCAACACTAAATGAACTAACATGAACATATTCAAAAATAAATAAAGGAACACGAACTGAACATAAACATCTTCAAAAATAAATAAACGAACACAAACGAAACATTATTTTTTAAATTCAATTACAGCTTTAAAAATAACGTATCGCCTAACGCATGTTGTTCCAAAAACTTAATTACAATAAAGTTCTGAAATTATGAACTAAGAATCATTTAACCATACTATGAATAGTCATAGCATTTTACTAGAAATATAATTAGTTTTTATTTTCATGAATAAAAAGGTTTATTGTATTTGTTGTAATCAGACCCAGCCATGAGGGTAGGCGAAGAGTGCGACCGCCTAGGGCCCACATTTGTTGGGGTCCCATTTTTAATTTTTTTTAAAGGTTAATATTACCTCAGACCATATACCGACAGTTTTAGCCATTCCCCACGTGGAAAGTTAATGTTAAACTACCCATATAATTTTTTTATTCCTAACCCATTGTTGACCATCTCTTTCCCCCATGTGAAACACAGCAGATCAAGATTTCACCCATGCTCCACTATACATTAGGGGCCTAAGTTATTTTTTTAGGGTCTTTATTTTTTATTTTGCCTAGGGCCCTTAAAATGTCAGAACCGACCCTAGCTGTAATGTCTAGGTTGAATTGAGAGCAGATCTCTTACTTTCAATTTATAACATTAAAATGCACAAAGGTAACATAGTTCACATTTAGAAAGTTCATGGCCACTCAATCTCAACCAAACAAGTTTTTAGATACTAAAGTTAAAAGATATAATATTAAAAAAATATCTTTAATGTTTCACGGAATAATCATTTTAATCTTATTTCTTAAAAATAATTTAACTACAACGTTTTATTTTGAAACAAAATATCCATCATTGAATGAAAATTATCAGTGACGTGACAAATCATATATATCTAAAATGATGACATGACACATATTCAAAATAATTATATAAGTAACATAACAAATGTCTTATCGTAATCTTGAACACATGATATATGTTGTATCATCATTTTACACATGTACCACAATATCTCTTTAAAACTTAAACACATAATTTATTGGGTAGATTACACTGGTAATCACTTAACTATTTCTCTATTTCAATTTGGCCACTGATGTTTTGATTTCGTCAATTAAACTACCTAACTATTTAAATGCTTCAATCGTACCACTAGTCGTTAATATTTAAGGGTAAACTATATCAGAGACCACCCAACTATGCCCCTTTTCATTTCAACCACCATTTTTGAATCCTTGTCAATTAAACCACCCAATTATTTAATACATTCAATCAAGTTACCCGCCATTAACATTTAACAGAATTGATGATGTGATAGTTAATTAAACTGGTATAATTAACCATTTGATCCTCAATATTTATACATTCTTTCAATTTGGTCATAATTGTAACTTAATTCAATAAATTTAACCTCCAATTAGATGGTGACATGTGTCACTAGCATATTGGAAAATATATTATTAATTTTAATTATTTAATTTATTTTAAATTGTTGGTAAGGTGGTTTAATTGTGTGATTAAAGACGGTGAAATCATTTCACTTACCAAACCACATCGGAGCAACAAGAAACCAACCACATCTATACATACCATGTACAAAAATCAAAATTTAAATGTGTCTTTATGCAGCTCTCTTCAATATACACCCCTTTTTTTTTAGAAAAATTAGTTCTAAATTTAAATTAAGAGTAAATTACACGTTTGGTAATTGAATTTTACTCTTTCTTCTATTTCACTCGTTATATTTCTAATTTTTTAATTTACTCATTGAATTTATAGATTGAATTTTTTTGAGATTAACCAAAAAGGAAAGAAATTTTGGGGGATTGACAAAGAAGGTAGAGAAAGAAGATTTGAAAGGGTAATCTAAAAGTGTTTAATATTTTATTTTTTCTGAATTGGGTTGAAATAAGCTGAAAATATATTTGAATATATGAATTTTTTAAAAATTGAATTTTAATATAATCTCCAGATAAGTTTAGGTTTGTATATTAAATTGAATTTTTTAATTGTATTAAAAAATTAAATGACCTTTAGTTTGAATTATAAATCAAAGAAAATTATAATTAAGTTATTATTTAAAAAATGGTAAACTATACCTATAACCTCTCAACTATTATCTCTTTTCATTTTGATCATTGAACTTTTATTTTGTCAATCATGCCACTTAATTATTTAAGTGTTGCCATCAATATTCATCGGTGGAACTACCACGACCGTTAAAAATTAATATAATTATATATTTAGTCCTCAATGTTTACATAATTTATCAGTTTAATCATATTTTTTATTCAATTTAATAAATTTAATCTCCAATTAGATGATGATAAGTATCATCACCTAATTAATTTTTTTTAATATTTCAATTAATTAATTAATTTTATTTTTATTTAATTAATTGGTATAGCATGTGTCACCGTCTAATTGAATAATGATATATGTCGCCATCAATATTATTAGAATTAAATCAATAAATTACAAATAAATAATAAGAATCATGTTATTACATTCTTGCAATGGGGGACCATGCCCCATGACAAAAAGAACATGGTGCAAAAGACAAGACTGCACCAGCTTTGATTATCTATAAGCATGTGCTCATCAATCCCTACAAACCAATCCCAAGAGAAGCGTGGATCCGAATTATCTCGAAAATTAGAGATAATTTTATTTAAAAGATCTCGAATTTGTTAGTGTTGTTTTCCTCATGTTTGTGACAAACAATTAGTTATTGCAAGGACAATATTTTTTTTTGATAAGTATTGCAAGGACAATAAAGAAGGGTAGATGAAGACGTTTAAAGGGGAATCCGATCCTTTTCACAAGGCAGCTTCCTCTTGCCTTCTTTAGTTGAGATATATGCAAAAATAATACATTTGTTTCCTAAAGCTAAGATCTATATTATATTTCTCATTATGTTTTTTCTGTGTTCATCAATGGCGGACTAGAAAAAAAAAGGATTTGCAGTGATGGGGAAGGCTGGGAAATGGCTGAGAAGCCTGTTGACTGGCAAGAAAGTTAAGGAGAAAGTGGAGGGTAAATGCACGAGTGATCAGAATTGTTCGGTTGTTCCCGAGAATCGGAGTACTACTCCCGTGTTGATTCCGCCGACGACGCCTAAAGAGAAACAGAGATGGAGTTTCCGGCGATCTTCGGCTGCGTCGACGCCATCAAGGGGGTCGAGTTCTATAGAACAAGTTGCCGCCACCCCGCATCCTACAGCGGAGGTTGTGATCCGATTAGCCGATGACAACAATGAAAAAGCAGCCGCGGTTGAAGACGCGGCTGCGAAGATCATTCAATCCGTGTTTCGATCATATTTGGTATGTAATTTCTTTAGCGACTAATTTGCGCACGGATTTAGTACATTCTGGTGAGATCTGAAGTGGATTTAGATATTTTAAATTTCGATGCTTTTCTATTACAGGCGAGGAAGGCTTTGAGAGCACTAAAAGGACTGGTGAAGTTACAGGCACTGGTGAGAGGTCACCTGGTGAGAAGACAAGCCACTGTTACGCTGAAATGCATGCAGGCTCTGATCACCGCACAGGCAAGAGCTCGAGCTCAGAGGATGCGAATGGTTGAGGATTCCAAGCCTGCTGCCCAAAGGCAATCGCCCCGCCGGAGGTCACCACCGGATTATCGGATAAGGCATGCATATCATGTAAGCTTCACTTCCTTCACCCAATTATGATTTTTTTAATAACTATCGATATTTGATTTATTGTTCGATTAATTCACATAGATACTATAACGTCCTATTATAGAGATGACTTTCCAAATCTAATTTGATACATTCTTGTCAAAACTTAAATCTCGGTGAAAAAAATTGTTAATTGATATAAGATGCATGAGAAATTATTTTTTCAAGTGGGATAAAATAAACAGTATCGTTTGAAAGATACTGAGAATAAAATGTCTTCTGAAAGATACATTGATCATTATGTTTCTTCTGTATGAACTCGTTAATGTAGTTGGGGAAGATAAGAACGCAAGCATGGCTCCTAATGTTGAAGACTTGTCATCTATGTGTCTTCCATGGCCAAGCTGAAGGCATATAGTGCTCTATGCGTCTTTTTCATTGCACTGTAACAATCGCCAAAGTCCAAGAAATAATTCTTGGGTGGATTATTTTGGGAATTTTTTTCCCAACGCATTATCTCAATCATTTTGTCATATATACACACACATATATCCACTTATACAATGTAAAACTCTTTAGTTTTATATAGATTTAAGACCGTTGGATGAGTGAAATTGATGGCTGAGATTGACTTCTTGTTTTTTTCTCAGTAAATATCTTCACATTTCCTACTTTTAATCTCAACCATATGTTTTCACTCATCTAACGGTCTTAAATCAGTGTAAAACTGAAAGTTTTATATTATGTAAGAGGATCTTACCCCTATATATATATATATATCTATCTGATTTTAAAACTGATTTGCAATGTGGGCTTGTGAGCATGTAGGAGATTGATGGTGGAATGGAAGAAAACATTAAGATTGTAGAAATGGATAGCTATTCACACCATTGTTCCTCAAATCAACCATACTCCAAGCAAGACAATCGTCAGCCGTCTCCGGCAACATCAACTTTGACCGATATAAGCCCCGAATTTTTCAGTGGTCACTTCGATGATTGTTTCGTCATGGCACACGACAGTCCACGATACGTGGAATCCGAGTCATACGAGTACGCTCTATGCCCCAATTACATGGCCAACACTGAATCTTCAAGAGCCAAATTGAGGTCACAAAGTGCACCCAAGTCGAGGCCGGATTCGATCGAGAGGCAACCGAGCGGCAGGCGAAGGGCATTGATGGAAGGCCACAATCATGTCCCGAAGGCGATGAGGATGAAGCGATCATCGTCACATGCCGGTGCCACAGCCGATAACTACAAGTACCCGTGTTCGATCAAACTCGATAGATCATCGATTTCGCTTAAAGAGAGTGAGTGTGGTTCCAACAGTACAGTTCTCACAAGCACCACCAACTACTGCAGATCCCATTTTGGAAATGATGTCAGTGTGAAATAACACCAAATGGAATCACCAAAATCTCAAGGCTAGAGATGTTTTACTATGGGATAAAGCAGCATTTAACCCCTGAACTTGTTAAGTTTTCTAACTTGGTCCTTGAACTTTTTGGTCCATATTAGTCACTGAACTTGGATTGGATATGTGGTATGATATCATAGTACCTAATCAATAAAAGGACCAAAATTATTTACGGACTAAGTTGGAAACAATTACCAAGTTTAGGGATTAGATATTACTTTTTTGTTTGAATATGCAAATCATATAAGGAAACTGACCTGCGAAAATCTATAGCCCGGTTTCACTGATGTAGTAACTTTATGTCAATAGAATTTCTTCTTGTTATTTTTTATTTCAATTTAAGTTCAATCGTATGTATATCAGACACGAATATGATTCTACTATACAAGTATTAATTAATTATGAAATTTTTAAATTTAAAACATTTTGCGTTATTATAATTAAAAACATGTTTCATTTCCGTAAATGAAAATTGTATTTATGAGACTATGGTCACATAATTAAGGAATTAGATAAAATAATCATATAAAACTTTGTTGAACTTATTAAGTGATTTAAACGAGAAAAGAGAATGTTGTTATGTATAGAAGATTTGGGTTCGAATAATTATGAGAAAAGAGAATGTTGTTCTTTATAGAAGATTTGAGTTCGAACATGTTAACAATCAAGAAATAATCTGGTTTTGCATTACAATCAACGTGCTTTCTCATACAAAAAGCAATGCTATATAAAGACCTATAGAAGAAGGAGCTAACAACTATTCTTCATATACAACAACTTAACCACCTTGACACGTGGTGCAACTGCTCAACAAACCAGCCACAACTAGCAATGGCTTAGAACTCCAACATTCACCCTGCTTTATTGCTCTACTTCTTTTAAATCGAACACACTAAGCTTACTCCTCAAGCCTCCAAATATGTTGAAAACAAGAGGCTTTGTTAAAATGTCTGCAATTTGACTATCAGATGAGACATAGTTGACTTGTATCTCTTGTGCTCATACTTATTCTCGAACAAAATGCAAGTTGAACTTAATGTGTTTGCTCTAGGCATGCAAGTTGGATTTACAGCCACGTCCACTGCACTGGTGTTATCACACCAAACTTTTGGTACTTTAATAATCGGTACTATCATCTCATGCAACACAGCCTTTGTCCATATAACTTCAGTTGTTGTATCCACGAGACTCTTGTATTCTGCTTCAACCGTGGAATGAGAAATTGCACGTTGCTTCTTTGAGCTCCAAGAGAGAAGATGGCTACCATTAAAAACACAAAACGATGTTATGGATCTTCGATCATCAACGTCTCCTCCCCAGTCGAGTTAGAAAAGGGCTTGAGTTGCATCATTCCTTGCATCTGTGAGGGAAACCAGAGTCCACGATCCATCGTGCCTCGAAGATATTGAAGAATGCACTCTGAAGACACTAAATTTTTATCCCGGTTCTATTATTTTTATTATAATAATTATAATTATAATTATTTTATTATTATTATTAAATAATTTTATTTATTTTACAGGCCCAAATATTAAATCACAAGGCCCAATTACAAGACTCAAATATATAACCCTAATATTAATTAGGGTTTATATCCCAGCTGCCTCCTCCTCAACTATTCAATTACTGCCGACACCTCCAACGCCAAGTGACCCAACCAGTAGCTGCCGACTCCTAGCTGCCACGACACCACCATCGTCGAAGTCTCCAGAACCGCCACGAAGCCACACACGTCGCTTCTCTAGGGGTGAGTCACCATAATAGTTTGGTGACTCACTAAAGCTTCCCCCTTTGGACTGGTCTGAGCCGAACACTTTGGTGGCTATAAAAGCCACCACCCAAACCTGCAAAGAGGGAGCAACCTAGAGATACCAAGCAAAATAGAAAAAAAAGCCAAACACAGAGAACAACAACAGAGAGAGGAACCCAAGAGCAAGCAAACAACCAACAGAGCATAACGAAACAACCACCAACAACAAAAATAAAAGAGAAGAGAAGAGAGGAACTTACTCTGTCGCCGGAAAGCTCCAAACGTCGCTAGAGAACCAAAACGCCGAAGGTGAAAATCGTAGATTTACGATATATTATGGGGTTTTAGGTTAAAATAACCTTAGATCGGGCCTTAGGACGTTTAGAGCTCTGTTTTGGGGTATTTTGGGGTTTTCTGGCCACCGTCAACGGAAGACCGGCGGTGGTCGACGGTGCCGGAGCACGGCTTTCGGCCGATGGTCTCCTTCTCTGTTTTAGAAAGAAATGGCTCAAGGGAGCCGGTTTTTAGGCTATTTAAACCCTCATCAAAACGACCGTTTTGATGAGGGGTCTGGATGTAATTTCAAAATAGTTAAACTACACGCACAGTCACCTGAAGTTTATAAACTTCCATTTTAGCCAATGAAATCAATTTATGAACATATTAATATTATATTCGAATTTTATTTTATCGTATTTTAGTCCATACCAGTATACATATATTTTAGATTAAATACTAGATTTAGTCCCTCATGTTTTGATAAATTTCAGTTTAAATTCTCAATAATTAATAAGGCTAAATTACATTATTAGCACTTATATTTTTTTTTGAGTTAAAGCTTTTAAATTTTAATTAAGTTTTATTTTAATCACATATTAGTAATTAGGGGCTAATTACAATATTAGTAATTATAATTTTATAATAATTTGAATTATGTTCATTAATTTTTGATATTTTACATTTTATTCCTATTGTTTTAATTTTTATTTGTTTTAGTCACTTTTAAATTGCAATTTTAATTTTTTATTACACTATATGTTCCAATACTTTAAATTATAGTTACTTATATACCTTTCCTTAAATCACATATTAATTTTAAAATAGTTGTAGTTGAAAAAGTGCTTTTGTTTTATTATAAGACTTTTGATGTTGATTAAATGGAAAAATATACTTACCCTCAATCGTGTAAACCAAATCTCTGCTTTTGCATTGAATTATTTTAGCTATATATATTTAGGGTCAATACCATAATTAGTCCTTAATGTTTTTTTATTTTATAATAGTTCGATAATTTTTATTTTTTATTTTATATACTTTACAATTTAATTTTATAATTTTAATTTCTTTTAATCATTATTTATTTGCAATATTATTTTATTATTACTTTTATATTTCAATTATTGCTTCAATTATTATTTTATTATTATCTTAGTCATATAAATATATATAATAAATAATATTTATTTATTTTGTTTTTCTATGAAATAAAAATCTTATTTATGAACTATATATGTTTAAATTTTATTCTATTATTATTTTAAGAAAATATTTTAGTTATTTATTTTTTAATGTTGAAGGAAAGAGCTGTCTTAAAGCAACTAGAAGTCCTTTTCTAAATATTTTTAAATAAATAAATATCTTACTATATTAAAATAAATTTTTTAATTGTTTTAATTATTTATTTATTTTTTTAATATCAAAGAAGAGAGCTGTCTTAAGGCACCTAGAAGTCCTTTTCTTATATTTCTAAATAAATAAATATTTTATTTATAAATATATAAATTAATATATATTTTTTCATAATTATAATTTTAAAATAATAGGATTATAAATTAAATATATTTTGAATTCTTAAATTTCTAATAATAGAGACAATGTATAATTAAAAAGTATCAATTTTGGGCGTTGTAGGGGTGCTAATCCTTCCCTAAACGTAACCGACCACGAATCCCTTTTTATCATTAAAAAGAATGAATTTTTGGTTAAAACGCATATCAGTTTATCTTTTAATCGATGTTTTTTTGAAAAACTCTTTTAAAGGATGATTTTTAGGTATTCGACCTACCTGATCCAAAAGGCCGATGGCGACTCCCAAATTATTTTAAAAAAAACCCATTTATTAACATCACTTTTCCCGCCAAGTAAAAATAATTCGTGTCCGGATGAAAACCGATTACGACAGCTTGGCGACTCCGCTGGGGACTTTCAAGCTTTTAAAATCAATTATAAATTGTCTCTATTAATTATAAATTAAAAAATTTATATATTTAATTTATAATTCTTTCTTTTCAAATTTTTTATATATACTTATTATTTTTATAGTATTTATATTAATATTTCATTTTACTTGCAAGTATTTTATTTCATTATTTATTCTTCTGTCAGAAGTTTGAACATTTCTCCTCACACACAACACTTGCATTGCATAACATAAAAGCTCTATAATTGAGTTTGTCCCTTTTAAGTGGGAGTGAAAGCGACGTCTTCGTGAGAATTTATTCTCCGTGTCAGACCTAGCAAGTAACTTTCGGGGTTCATATGCTCTATATCTTCGTGAGAATTTATTCTCCGTGTCAGGCATAGAGAAGTGTATCCCCTCGAATTGAACTCGATCCACTTAAGTCTGTAATGGACTAGGATTGAGGATTGACAGCGGGGGCATCAACAAAGACAGTTCGAGTACCTTTACTCCTAGAACTGAAACTCTGCATATAATAAACCCTAGAAATTCACCTAATCTAATACAGTACTGAACCTCTATTCATAGGTATACACAAAGGAGAAATAAGCTCTAGCTTTTAATTTATTTAATTTTTTATTATTTTTTTTCTCTCTGAATAAATGCATATGAACTAGAAATCATGCAGTTAGGTTAATTTTTCCAAACAAAGCATGGAACTAGAAAGCATGAGGTTAGGATACATTATATACCTTGATAGATAGAATCTTTCTTGGTACTAACCAATTTGTTTTTTCCCTTCCCATTTTTATAACATTTTGTTTTGCTCTAACTTGTTTATATTGATTTCTTTCGTTTGCATTTCATGATCATAGCATAACCAAAAAGGTGTTGACTTGAAAGACTGTTCATCAAATTGGAAAGAAATCATAAATGGACAAAAAGTTTTATGGTCAAACAAAATATGATGCGGCCAAGGGAAGACATCCTGAGGAAACTCCGATGATGGAAGCGAGCAATGCGCACAGAGATCCTGTTATATTAATACCAAAAGTACTCCACAAAGATTTTTGCCATATTAATACCAAAAGCAGTCTATGGTAAGAGCATCAGTCAGGGCATTCAGAGTGGAGGAGGTTTTTATGAAACTCAAGCATTTTATTTGAAGGACTTGAACGACCAAAACAAGAAATTGAACACAGAAATGAAAACTATGCATGAAGATTTTCAGAAAATCAGTCAAGCTTTTTAAAATACTGGCCTAGGAAGTACCCCAGAAGAGTGGATCACAGGGGTCACCAAGCTGAAAAAGAACTACAACATATATGAAGATCTTGTTCAAGAACTTCTTGGACA